GTGGGGGGGGGTCTGAATTGAGCGATCAATTATTAGACCCGGACGTCCCAACACTTGCTTCGCAAGACAAACTCAAGGTATCCCCTAAAGGGCTACCTTTCGTGAAATTTCAATAAATGATGCACTATTCGGCGTCCATTGCATCACTCGCATCACCAGACCCCATTTTCACTGCTTTTCTGACCCTCGCTTTGGAGCGCTCTCCCCCAGCAAGCTCCGGGTTCACCCTTTGAAATGGTGCCTTTTCGCGGCCTACCCCCCCCGCACACCCCCTTAACTCGCTCTAAGAGCTCAAGCCTAGCCTATCGGCTGGCTTTCGTAATAAACTATAAATATGTTAAGTGAACATATTTCCTCCCCCTATTATAGTAACCAAGCCCACCCTCTGCCCCCTTTGTTTTCCATCTCTTTCATCCTGCAATCCTCTTCCATTTCCTCTTCCTTTCTAAATCACACTAACCAAAGACAATGTCACCAAATGGTTTCCCAACACAGTCCACCGTTCCCCATTCAATTTCCTTCTCACCCAAATCTTCCCAATCAAACCACTGATTGGACACTTGCTCGTACGACGCTCATGGTTCACACAGAATCCCATCAACCATCATCAGGTCCAGGTCATCACCTCATCATCCAGGTCATCACCTCATCATCCATCATCGGGTCATCACCTTTATTAGCGGGATTTGGTCTCCAATACCTGCAATCTCAAACTTTGTTGACCTTGAAAGGGGGTTGATTAATCCGACACCGACACTAATTTGCCATAATTGTATGCACTGTACATCTTACATCTGTTTTATAGCAAATCTTGAAGTTTTGTAGGTAATTTCCTGAGTGGTGAGGAATGGCATTGAGTTCCATTCATTGTTTTGTTATTGGCAAAGGGTAAGGCTAAGTCAGAGATTTGTTGCTTCTCTTTCAAGATGTCAAAAGAAAAACATATTTTGAAGAATGATTACTGTGCATGTCTTCAACCTTCACCATTCGATCCAATTCTTTTAGCAAGTTTCCCGTTGGTCAAAGTCTTCCAAAGGAAGGCATATTGCACCACTTGCATGAAGGCCTCAAGAGCATCTGATTGCTTGACAACGTGCAGTTCTACCAACCATCCGCCATGATCCAGGTATATAGTGGTGTTGAATCCATTTTGGCCTGCTAGGTCCAGTACTGGGTCCATGTCTCCTTCAAGTATAACATTGTGCAGCCTGGACACCCGCTGCTTGTTGTCTGCAGCTCCACCATGCCCACCCTCAATGTTCTCATAGTAGAAGGTACTATCCTGCCATGGGGTTGATAGACCTTCGATCAGGACGCGGCTTCTTCCACTGAAACAAAGCAGCATGAACCAGAACCACTAATTATGTTGGATGATGTTGGAGAGCATGATTAAAAAACAAGAAAGCTGGACACCTACATACAGAACACTGCCTGGTGCTAGAGCGCTGAGAAAAGGATACCAATAGACCCCACGGTAAATCCCTGCTTGCACAGGTCAGTCAGTGCGAGGCATATCTCACTATATTCTCAGTATTTCTCAGTTCAATTCACCACAGCAAGCCCTTCACAAACATGTCCTTGGCCGTGCCATGCCCTAAGAGCTTGGCAACCATCTTCCGGGCATGGCCTGGAGCTCAAAGGGGCTAGTGACACCTCTTGGCACATCGGAACAAACATGAGCCAGTTGACGAGCCATCCCTGTTCAGTACGGATGTTTTGAGCAGCATGCTGTGGAATTGAAAGGTCGTTTTCCCATGCGCAACCGTGCATTCGGGGTGGAATTGACATGGAACAGAAGTGTAAAAACCTTGCACATACATCTGGTAGGTGGCTTCGACTTTGTCTGGCGGAACCTACAATCCAAATCACCAACAGTAGGAACAACCCGGACCTTGCAAAACAGGGAAGACCAACAAGGAAGGCCAATGTTCAAAGGTTCGAACAATTAGTTGGGAACTGGTTTCATTACCCTCAACGCTCCAATATTTAAAAGTATCTGGGTTTATCGTTTACCTTCTGCTTGGTATGCCCATGTTATGCGCATGACGGTCAACCACTCCCCAGGTCAACCGGTGCCGTGGTGTCAAACCACCGTGCTCTCCGGTCTTCGACCCCCGGACGTCCTGGGTGGACGCGATCGTCTTTCGTGGAGGTCACGAACCTCGGAGCGCCGCTGGCGCCGATGCGATGGCCCACGCTGGTGGGGTCTTGCAAGCGTCATGCACAGTTTTGGGGAGGGGCGCCGCTCAAAAAGACCTTTGAGCACCATTTGATACCTTTGAGCACTGTGTAGTGTAATTTGGTCAGGTGCCCATCGGCGCTCTGCTCTTGGCTTAGAGCCCAGGACGGCTCCGATGCTGCAGGACCTGACTAACCACTGATTGGGTATGGACCGGTATGGATGTATATAATAGGCATAGTTGTGTTTCTTTCATTTCTTTGGCGAGTACTTGTGCGCGGTATCTTGTCCGTAGTATCTGGAAAAAAAACAACAGTACTCTCGATTCTGATCAACGTCTACTTGTTTTGATCCAAATCTGTTCGTTGGACCAGTTTGATCCAAACTAGGCCTCGAAAGAGAAACACCCGCCGAGAGGCAAGGCTGCGGGATAGGTGGCATCTTCCTTCACAAGATGATAAGGTGAGTACCTTGGATGCAAGCGATGCACCAGTCTTCACTTCCTATTGAAGAACAGGAACGCGACATGCCACGAGATAATTCAATCATCTCGTGCCAAGCTCTTTGACCTTTCCTGAAACGAAATCTTGGCACCTGATTTGGAGCCACTCAGGCTGGGATGCTGCAAAAAGGCCAGGGGTCCAGGGATTGGTGGCAAAAGCTAGCAGGGTCAGTTCATCTGCAGGGTTCAACCGTCTGGGGGTGAGTATTTGAAGCAGGGCATTGGTGCACCGGTGAGCTTGCTGACCAGTGGAAAACTAAAGACCTAGACCTATCCCTTTTGGGGACCGCGGGGTTGTCCCGAGCAGAGATCAATTCACTTGGTAGCCGACTTCCGCTCCCAAAAACTTGCTGACTAGCTGCTAGCTGATGCTACAGCTAGCTTTGGAGACATGCGGATGCGGGCTCCAACCCGTGAAGCAAGGTCTTCACATGACCCCGGTCCTTGTGTGTCAACCTCATGTTAGGTCCTTGCGGCACATGTTTCATTGCCCAATTGAACATTACACGGTCACACATGAAAATGACTGAAGAGGCCTTAATCACCTGGTCATCGTGCTTGTACAACCCTCAGTACAACCCTCAAGAAAGCCGACCCGCGGCGGGTCGGCTCAAACGACGGCTTTTCAAGCGACGTCTAACGTCTTCACTCCTCGACGCACCCCGAGAAAGGCACCTCTCTCGCCACAGAAAAACATGCAGGCAGAAAGTGAATCCTCTAAGGCACTTATGCAGAAAGTCGTCCCAATCGCTGGTGCTTGGATCACCTCAGTGATTGAGAATGGACTATTTCTGTGGCATTCTGATCCCAAAAGCCTGTGACGCTAAAACACAGAAACCTTCAACTGAAAACGGTCTTTGAAGGACTGGGACTCTGGGACCCCTGAAATTGATCTCGTTGAGTCCCAAATGTTGTGCAAAAGGAACGGGGCATTGGCAATTGGTTTGTCTGCTTGGGACTTGTCTTGTCCATGTTGCTTGTCGAAGACTGCAGCTGCTGGGCGGGATTGTGGTTACCTCTTGAACGGAAATGAGTTTGTTAGGTATTTGAACCAAACTCGCCGGTGTTTTGGCAGCTCTAAATTTCATGGGTTTCGTCGTGACCGAGCTGCCATACTCTCCCATCCAGCTGGGGCCAGCCAGCAAAATGCTGAAGCGCTTCATGTCCTGGGCGAGTGGCTTGCAGCTCATCTAACTGGCCTGCACTCTGCAATCTGTCGCAGTTTTCCAGTCCAGGTGTTTTTCTCTTCCGGGAGGGTTAGGTTACTGGTTGCAATCCCTCTTTGAAATCTCAATTCAGTATTGACAGGCTTTCTATGGTTTGCATCTTCTTTTACTCTTGCAAATAGTTTGGAGTGTCCACCAGTTTTTCCCAAACCTACTGGTGTGGGCAGTTAGCAGTATCGACCAACAAATGATCAACTATCAGCTCTTGGTATGGTAGGCCGGGCTTTAGCTCTCACCCAGTCAAAACCAAGGCTCCAGCAAAGGCACTTGGCAAACCACTGCACCCAACAATTCCCGCTTCTCCCGCGTCAGCCTCATCAAACTGAATCGTCAGCGCAAAGCGCATTAAAAAAAGGGGCGGTCAAACACCTGGGGAGCACTGAAGCACATTCAGATTCTTTGCAACAAGTTCTTTCTTTCACACCATTCATGAAGACCACCCCCCATCCAAACTATATATATATATGATATATTGTCATTGATTGTAATTGTATGTAAATATATAATTGTCGATATCTGCAACCTCTAACTCCAAATACCTCGAGGTCTTACATGTCACATCATGTTTCAGTAGCCTCTCTAGTACGTAGGTTCTTTTTTCCAACCCAGGGCTGAAACAACTGTGTGCTTTGAAAAGGGTTTGGAGCTATTGAGAAACTCTCACAATCCAAAGCGGAGACGCACGCAAACCAAAAACACTGAGGGCGAAGAATAGAACGCACCACAACCCAATCCACCCATTGCTTTATTCCAAGCAACATGTTTCCGACCAGCAGACCGCCATTGGAGCCGCCCTGGACCGCCAGCAACGAGCGGCTGGTCACTTGGCGTTTCAGCAAATCTTCTGCGACCTTGGTGCGAAGAAGGGCTGCTCCTGGTCAAGACCAAGGTGGTTCCAATGATTTCTTGGAAGAAGCCCTCCTCCTCTTCACCAGTTGATCCTGGTGGCTAAATACTTGGGGGAGATATTCCAATTTCCTGACTAATCATGCCCCAATCCGTCCAGCTTGGGCTCCCCAGTCCCAAAACACGCACTGCATGATCCTGACACAGTCTTGGTTCCGCTTCCATCGTTCGATCATGACTCGGAGCGTTTTGGCTATATACTTGTTCAATCGGTCTTCCCTTTCCAGGGCATTGCAGGTCAAGCACCAGCTACTGCCAGAACAAAAAAGGACTGTAACAAGGAGCGCCCTTTCCAACAGCAAAACCGATGATTTACGTTGTCCTCTGGACCACACGGTTGCGGCCAACTGCAAAGGTCCGGTCATTCGGGGGACGGCGTCAGCGCCCCCTTGAGGCAGAATGACAAACCCACAGGGGCAAATAGAAGCAGCCGCTCAAAACCTGAGTCTGCTATTTGCTGCTAGAACCTGTTTCCATCAACCCTGACGGCTGTGGCCCGAGGCGAGAAATGGAGTTCCACCTGTTCATCAGCAAATGAATTAGTTAGAGTTAGAGCACTGGAACAAATCAGTTATGTAAGAACAGGACATCCACGCTTGGCAAAAAAGAACCTCCAGTGATCTACAGGATTTCTGCAGGACTCAGTATCTCTCCATCTCTGATAGAACAGCATCGCGCCAAAAAAAAAAAAAACATAACCAGAAGTGTAAACCCTTGTGCACTTGCCAATCATTGCAGGGTCCTCAGCATGGGTGAGTTATCCATTACGGCATGGCAAAGGGATAGCACCTGAATGTGCCAAAACATGCCAAAACCAAAATGGCATCGAATGGCCACAAAAAAGGACACACAAGTGACCAATATAGCCACTCTCAACCAAACTTTGACTTCGAAAAGTTCATGTTGAAGAATGTTAAACTATATATACAAAGCTGGCTTTCGATCCCTGTTGAAACCAGTCACATGTCCATCTGTTTTGTGGTTGCTGCTCTAAGTCCCTCTTCATGTCAGATAAGCGGCCGCTTCGAAATCCTCATAGGCTTTGTTGCCTCATGACACAGCTCCACTCGAACATGTCACCCAACCTGCATGACTCCATGACCCGACAAGACTCCAACTGGGTCCTCATCTGGTTGACAGCACATTGCTCTCCTCATCTGGTCGACAGCGACCAAGCTTTTCACTGACCAACATCCACCCAAAAGGATCCAAAAGGGACCATGACAAAACTTTCTGCTGTGCGAACCACCGGAGCTTATGATGGAGGAGTCAGCAGGGCCTAAAGCGACACCCATTTGCAATCTCTGGAACTTACACCCAACCGTTACTAGATGGTGCAGCTCTTCATTTTGGTCAAGTTAGCTGATTCCACAAGGGTGGGGGATTCAAATCATTCGGGGCAAAAAATAGACTGAGTCGAAGCAGTTCAATAACTATGGCTGATGGACAACATCCTGCACCACCAAAGAGATCACAAAAGCGGGGATTGTCTTGGTTCCTAGGTAGCGAGGGTTTGTGCATCAACAACGGATTTCTCGTACTCTGGGAGAAAAGTCTGAGCTACGGTCACAACGCGGTCGTTCGAGAGGCAAAAAATGGTTTTCACTGCCATTCAATATTTTCACTGCCATTCAATATGCTGCAATCGGATGCAGTCGGTATAATAAAGCCAGGCTATCATCACCTATGAATATACTGTCTGATCCCTAGTTACAGTGACCTAATTACCAGAGAGTTGCCATTGCTCACACTAGTAACTAGTATAGAATGAGACCACTCCAGTCTGACACACCTAGAAAGTTCCTAAAGATCCATCCAACCGTCCTTCAGCTTTCCTTAAGGCGCATCAAGTGTGGAGTACAAAGTGCAGCCGCTTGTCGGCTCAGTGGCAGCGAATTCTTGGAAACGCTCAGGGTGAGCCCAAAAGCAAAGCACGGCTTGGGCACCCCCCACCTACATTTCGCCAAAGACCCCTCACAGAAAAAGGTTCTTGGGCACAAGAATTGTTTATTGGATTGGGAGGTCAATAATTATAGCAGTGATAACCTCATGTAAGACCAATACTAATTTTGGACAGAAAACTTAACTTAACACATTCAATATTGCTTTCCCAATATCTTTTTGATTGTATCTTTCTGTCGGTTGTTTGGTTTCCCATTTGCCATTAAACTTACTGTAATGGCTATCATAAATTTAACGGTTCATTTCTGTCGGTTCCTTAATGTCGGTTCTCTGGTTCCCTGCCCCCCAATGGAGGGGTCTCTTGTGGAGCGTCGATCTGTAGGTCGGGGAACAGCCCAAGATGGGAGTTGAGAAATCAGTTGCCAACTCCGCAGTTCAGGGTCATTAGCCCTTGATGCCCCGCAGGCCATGCTGGGCCTAGGGTAAAATTGTCGGCGCGGTCAGGTAGCGTGTAGCATGGCCCGTGATCCAATCACTGATGTCTTGGTTCACTCCACCGTTTGTAGCCTGAACTCACGCAGCAAAGCACATAGACTGCACTTTCGGAAGGACATGATTTGCGATGGTTACTGCAGGATAAAGAGGCGCTACAAGGAAAACAGTTTTGGCAATGTCACACACTTTACATGGCACCAAGCTACGGTTCACTGCAGTGGGAAACTTGAGGCTGTCCACAAATGCATCTGAGAGCTGACAAAAACTGACAAAACCGACCACCAGAACAGGCGGGGAATCAGAAACACCAGACTGGGACACCGAACTGGCGAACGACTAAGAACTCAAGCACCCACGCAACTCCCCACGTAAAGAATTACTCTACAGCACCCACTTCCAAGGTAAAAGCACCGGTCCGATCAACAAAAACTAAGTTCCTTTCAGTTCAGATCCCTTAGCCTTTTGCGCTGATGATTGATGATTATTGAAGTATATTGAAGTCCTCACTACTCTAAAGTCTAGTGTCCGATCTTCTTTTTTCTCACTGGCCATGTGAACCACCCTGAACCATGAGAGGTCAACGGCGTTGCACTTTTGAGAGGGCAGGGTGTAGTGGGGGCTCTTGCCACAGTGCCCAGCAGCCTTGAGATCACACCGCTTGCTGATGACCTGGAAATTCCAATGGAAGCATTTCTCGTCGTTCTCACAGGCCGTCGCGCAGGCTACAGCGTTGGTGACGCCCGGCACCCCATTGATGTAGTCGCCATAGAGCCAGGCGCCCTTCTGGCCAATGAGGTTGGCATCGGCCAAACCTGAGGGGTTTGGTTCGGCTCCGACAGTGGCTTTCTTCGGCCAATCAGTGCTTTCTTCGGTGAGGTGATTCCAACCCAAAGCCACAGAACAACAGCAAACCAGTTTGGGGAAGCTGCAGTTGGGGAAGCTGCAGAGGTCTACCCCTGCGGGATTTGTCAGCCAAATTTAACTGCCGGCTGGCAATCATGGTGATCTTCCGTTGCGGCATGTGCTCTGCATTGTTTCCCGTTCTATTTGGAATTGCTTTGGGAGGAGCATGCAAAGCTGAAATGGCATCTGTTTGTTTGGCAATTTGGTCTTCCATAGCTGCAAAGGGCTGTGAACAGGCAAGACAGTTCTTTGCAGCTAACTTCCAAACAATATAGGCTTAGCAAGCATTTACTTGGACCACCTGTGGTGCTGCGGGTGTCACTCTGGTTGACCAACCAAGCGGTTCAAAGCATGCCTCTAGAATTTACAACACAGTGAACACTTTGTTCAACAAGTGTGGGAGCTTTTGGGACATGACAGGCGTATACTCTTCCTATGCTTCCCTAAACTAACACGGTCCGGCATGGAACAATCATCAGGTTTTCAGTGTTTTTCCGATTTTGTTGATTTGATGTTTTTTTTCTCTCTCTCTCTCTATCTCTCTCTTTCTCACCCTCCGAGCACCAGCTAAACGGTGCCTTTACACCTGCCGATTGATGATCGAACAGTGATGGATCCAATTTGGCTCTCCAAGTAGCTCTCCAAGTGTGCTTCGCGGTAGAACCTCACGGTGGCCAAAGTGACGGCCAAAGGAACACATCTGAAACCGTTGCCGCTGGTGAAGCCGTGTTTGCCCAAACAAATAAATCAAGCTGCAAATCCCATCTGCATATATATATATATATATGTATGGTCTTTTGGGCGCTTCTAGAAGCCAGGATGAGCTGAGTAAAGCCACCAAACCACTTGGTGTATGTATGCACATGGATCAGCATGTTCCCAACACACCTCTGCCTGCTCACCCGGCTTCCTGGATTCTCAGTCCAACATGGCCCAAGGCACGCGATCAAATCGTCGCCCTCCAAATGTTCGGGAGCCTGCGTCAGGGTAAAGAACATGGCCGTCCAAAGTGGTTTGGCTGTCAAGGTTTCCAATGAAACACTGATGGTTTAGAGTTAAGAGATCGGCCTGGAGCCTCACTCTGGATTTTGTTCTAAAGGTGTTTTTTTGTTAATCATTTGGTTATCTTTTTGTTAGGGTTTGTGTACATCGTTTATTTAAATTGTTTTTGTCATTTATTTATGGTTTGTTCCTGCTGCCTGGCATACTGAATACAGAAAAAAATAAATGCAAGAGCGGAGAAGAAATGATAAAAACCATTATGCCGCCAAACGATACAACAACGATACAAAACCTATTTTCACTGCTCCAGTCTTGTGGCTGTGAAGATCTCATAAGTTTAGAGTGTAGAGAACCCCCGATTTCCCAATGTTCATAAGTAAGTTGAACATCAACCGATGAGCACGGAATGAATCACAGGTGTTCGCACCATGATCATAGTACGATCATAGTTACATGTTAGCAGTTAGCCCCTCCAATCTTCTAAGTAGAATCAAGGATCGATGTCACCCACCCACACCCGCCTGCGGAACCTCAACATCTTCAACTGGTGCTTGAGGTGCTGGTGCTGCAGGAGCCACTGGTGCCGCTGGGGCGACAGGAGCCACTGGTGCCGCTGGGGCAACAGGAGCCACTGGTGCCGCTGGGGCGACAGGGGCAACAGGTGCGGGAGCCGCAGGCACAGGGGCGACAGGTGCAGCCGGCACAATGGGCGCCGCCGGGGTCTCTGCGGGGGCCGCAGGCTGCTCCTGTGCTGATTAAGATGCCCGGAATAGCAGCACGATGTCATCGCCCACCCAGTACACAGAGAGATTGAGAGAATGAACAAATATTCTGGCCGGTTCCTGTCAATCAGGCTCTACGTAAGTGGACTCTATGAGGCCCAAGCTTCTGAGATCTTCTGAGACATGCTACTACGCTCCACCCTGCCTCCGGTTCGGCCTCCGGTTCGGCTTCCGCCGGCGCTGCCACCGGGCTCTCCGGCGCGGCGTCTGGTGCCGCGGCCTCGGGCGCGGCGTCCTGCGACGCGGCGAGGACAAGGAAGGCGAGCGTGGCGAGGAGGCGAGCCATGACGCGGTAGCGGTGGATGACGAGGTGGAGCGGGGCTGAAATGGCTGCGGTGCGGACGTGACGAGAAGAGAAACGAACGAGAAGGGTCTCGGCAAAGAGCCAGCAAAAATGATAGGTGCTAGTTTGCTTTTGAATGAGTGTTGATCAATGTCTTAAAACCGAACTGTTAATCAAGGTCTCAATTGTTGTATGTATACAAACATTTTAACATATTGTACCCGCCAAGTCCGACGGGAAACTGCAAGTCACCTTGTGAGTATAAATGAGCCTGTAAGTAAGCTAATAAGTTTCCCTGGAAGAAATCCTCACTTGATGTCATGCTGGAATCTGGGCAGAATTATGAGTCGTCACAACGTCTTGACATGTCTTAACTTGCCGTGCCACTGGAGGCCCTCTCTACTTCCACACGCGCACACACTCTGACATTGGTTTTCAGTTAACTCAGTTCCCACGTTGGGAAGGAAGGTGAGGGAACGGAAAGGCGAATGGGTCCGGTGATTAGAAATGTTAAAACATTGTTTCACTCGCTCTGCTGGCTGCACTTCACAAGCGGCTGAAAGCTGCGGTGGGAAACCTGTTTGTGGGGAAGGTATCGTGGAACAACCATGAAAGCAAAGAAAAGAGATTGGAACGGCTTGGTCAAAAGTTCAAAACTGTCGCAGGTACGTGAGTCGAGCGTCCTCGACTCATATCACAGGAATCGTGCAGCGTCTTCGTTGGTCGCTGACTGCACGAATCCCCAGCGAACCCCTGCCTTATGGAGTAGTGGTGGTGGAAACAGTGGCATTGAACCCTTTGGTACAGGGGGTGACACACACACTGTGCCGCTTCGCGGCGCTCGTGTGAAACACCTCAATAGTCACCTAAAAAGCCTTAGAAACAAAAGAAAAGAAAGACAAAAAGAGCAGCGCTAAGAGGGCAAGAAGGAAAGGTAGGTGTAGAAAAAGTGAATACTTAGCCCTTGACTGGGGAAGGGAAACGAGCCTCAAGAGCAACCTAAAAAGCCCAACAAACGACGAAAAGCGCAAGAAGGAAAGCGGGGGGCAGGGAGGGGGTGTATGTTCATGTGTGTGTCTGAATACCTAGCACTCTAGAGTTACTGATTACTTAGCAGAAATGAATTAAATGCAATAGTTAGGGAGCGGGACTTTAGTCTTAGACCGCCCGGGTAGGATAGACTAGAACAGGGACAACAAAGGGAAAGGCACCGACACACAATAATTAGGTCGGGATAAGAACGCGGTGGGGGAGGGGGGTTGGGAGACCTGCCTGAAGGGGGATGAATGCCGTTTTTAAGCCCGGCGGCTTGTCAAATCCCGTTTTTTGGCCCGGCGGCCGTGGAAGCAGTAAATTCAGTTAAGGTTGATCAAGTGGTGAATTCCTGTGTGAAAGGTGGAAAAGGTCAGTTACACGATTTCCGGCATGAATGCAGCGCCCCAGTGACGGGGATCACACTCACCACCCGAGTGGGACGGCTGAGCGGCTCACACTCTGACATTGGTTTTCAGTTAACTCAGTTCCCACGTTGGGAAGGAAGGTGAGGGACCGGAAAGGCGAATGGGTCCGGTGATTTGAAATGTTAAAACATTGTTTCACTCGCTCTGCTGGCTGCACTTCAGAAGCGGCTGAAAGCTGCGGTGGGAAACCTGTTTGTGGGGAAGGTGTCGTGGAACAACCATGAAAGCAAAGAAAAGAGATTGGAACGGCTTGGTCAAAAGTTCAAAACTGTCGCAGGTACGTGAGTCGAGCGTCCTCGACTCATATCACAGGAATCGTGCAGCGTCTTCGTTGGTCGCTGACTGCACGAATCCCCAGCGACCCCCTGCCTTATGGAGTAGTGGTGGTGGAAACAGTGGCATTGAACCCTTTGGTACAGGGGGTGACACACACACAAAAAACTGTCTTTCTTGTCAAGAACTCAGACATGTCACCGTCTTACAATCTTACACCAAACATTTTGGATTCTGGGGGATAGCATGGAGCCAAACCCCATTCACATCCCCCGCATCGTGCGCTGCATTTCTAGAGTCTACAGCCTATAGAGAGTTATCTGAAGAATAAGTTTAATCCTTTTTCTCGTTTTAGAAACCTCCCAGCCGAGTGGCGGTTCGCCTTCTTGGCTGCCTGGTGCCACCGGGGTCCATATTCCCCGCCCCCGCGGATGTTGGCGTCGATCCACACGCCGCCGTGCTCCAGCCACGCGATCCCGCGAGCGCCCGAGTAGACTGGGGTGAGAGAAATCTCGAAGCCACCGTAGCCATAGAGCCTCAAACGCAGGCACCCAAACTTAGCCAAAGCGTCAGCGTTGCAGAAACAGGTTATGTTTGTTTGATTTTTTTCCCATGTGAGCCTCGAAGTTTCTGAGAAACTTTGGGATTGGGATTTCATGAGCTGAAGATGTCACCCAGGGTTTCACCCCTTGGGTTCTTTCTGAAGATCCCAAAGCGATCCGTTTAAAACCCAAGGCACTTTGCCAAAGATGCCGTGGTGCACATCAAATCAACAAAGATCAACAAAGGGTGGATTTGCCATAGCCCCTTTCAGGCTTCTTGGCTCAAATCTAACAAACCTCAAGCGGTTTACATTAAGTTCAGCCAGAAGAAGTTCTTGGCGTTTGTGGTGAAAATGCTCAAGGGCTTTAACTATCCAAGGGTTGGGAAAACTCAAGGACTTCTTGTCACATACAAAGCCGCAACCGTAATTTGCTTGAACAAATGTACAACAATAAAATCATATAAAATCAATCAGTTTGCACTTGTAATCTATAAATGCAACCTCGTGGTTGCTGTTTTTTTGGGGGTTGGTAGTGCAATATACAAGTACAATCTTTTTATTTACAATGGGTCTGTGAACCACAGAAACATCCGCAACCAACACATACATCCGCTGAAAAATACGTCCAGGGAAAAAAACGCCTGTGGCTCACCAACAAACGCTGTTAGCTTATGTATCAACGCCCGTGGAATATTAAAAACAGAAATATCGGCAAACTCAAATAAATATAAGGCTGTGACTCCAAAAGATGTTGTTCACGCTGCAGATCGAAAAC